TATATATATATATATATATATATATATATATATATATATATATTATTGTCTAATTTCATATTTCTCATTTACTTTTATGTAATTCAAAATAAACACCTTAGCCATCCGAAGAAATTTCAAAATACATCTGTATATGTACAGAGTCATCAATGTTTAAGTAAACTATGCTATTTTGTTCTTTTTCATTAAAGTATAATTAGGGTATTTACAGTTAATTTTTACTCATGATTTTTTCAGCTTGTTGTGTTCTCCAGACTTCATACCAGAATTTTATAATTTTCATTTGACTTAATAACTCATATCAGTCAATAAGAATATAACATTCTAACACTGACAGAAAGGCACCTCTGTCTGTCACATCCCTCATTTGACTGTTTCCTTGTACTCGGAAGGAGGTGATTGGACATGAAAATGGTTTCCATAGAATTTGAGTTTCCTGAAATCACCATCAGTTTCTGTGGCTCTGACGTTTCTGTTTCCATGTACTTGTGAAACAGAGCTGAGTCATTCCATTCAAGGTGAAGGCATTACATTATGATGGTATATAGTTTTAGAGGGCACAATACAGTTGAATGACTCTTCCAGATCCTATCCCTACATCAACATCTCAGCATCCCTGTCATGACTTCTTCTACAGCATCACTGCAGATGGCAGCACATTAAACATTCACAGAGCTCTCACTTCTGACATGGGGAAGTATACGTGCGTTGCTACTAATCCCGCTGGAGAAGAAGACCGAATATTTAACTTAAATGTCTATGGTAAATATGAAATGCCTCCAGGTTTTGACTTTGCTACCTTAAGAATCCACTAATGGGCCACGGGTGACTGGAACATTTCTCTGAAATCTAATATCAATGATATTTTCTTTGGGGATGCAAAGCAGGAGTGGGGATAATTAGAGTGCAAATGATTTGAACTCACATGTCATGTCTTCTCTCTCACTCACTCTGTGCACTGCATAGTCCCACCTAAAATCAGAGGTAATAAAGAAGAGGCAGAGAAACTGATGGCTCTGGTGGACTCGTCAGTAAATATTGAATGCAAAGCCGTGGGGACACCTCCACCGCAGATCAACTGGCTGAAGAATGGCCTGCCTCTGCCCCTTTCCTCTCATGTTCGCTTGCTGTCAGCGGGGCAGGTTGTCAGGTTAGACTGAATCGTGTGTCGTTTCCTCAACACTTACGACAACAGTCATTGTCAACTCTTCCTTCACCTGTGCAACGTTTAAGACATGCTTTTCCCTAAGCTTTGATGGCCATTGTGCCACACCTTTCAATATGTGTTCAGAAGAGGGAAGATGTAAGAATCAAAATGGCTTTGTATTCTTATTGAAGTGCTTGTGTTTTAGTAAAAGTGTGCACAGTGGCTCTTGAGAGATGAACTGTTATCAAGTTTGGATTTCTAAGAGTTATATTTTGAGCAGTGTTACTTGGTAATATAGGAGGATATTGACAATGTCCATGTGCTTTTCGTGCTATCATTTTTCTATTGTAGTGTGTTTGAAAACTATTCACTCTGCTGATTGTGTTGTATTTTTAGTGGTTTGCCATGACTGCACGGTACCTTGGTGCACAAGCTGCAGTTTGAGGTATCTGCATTTTCTGATGATAGTCACAAGCTTTACATCTAAAACATTCAATATAAATTTCATTCAGTACTCTGCTTGTAAATCCTAATTATTTTTTGTATGCTCAGTAGGATTGAGTATGAAATGCTGGGTCCTGTTTTGCAGGATCGTGAGAGCCCAGGTGTCCGACGTAGCTGTGTATACCTGTGTGGCCTCCAACAGAGCTGGGGTAGATAGTAAGCACTACAGCCTTCAAGTCTCCGGTATGTCCCAGAAACCATCCTACTGCTTTTCTGCAAGTTCGATAGCATTTAACAACATGCCTTTGGGAACTGACTTCCTCACAGACTTGTAAATTCAATTTCCCTCTGTCAAACATAATTAGTGAAAAGTATCTCGCTGTTAGGGAAGAATTTGGTTTCTCCCCTAAGCAGTGGGTATTTACTGCTTCATACTATCTGTCGAAGTTCTCTTCTAATACAGAACTAAATCAGATTTAAGGGTTTTGATCAATTTTTTGACAGTGTCACACATTTTCATAATGCATACAGACCACTCTCATAATCCACCCTCTCATGTACAGCTATCACCTGCCTACCACTGCCAATTCCAACTATCTTCCTGGCTTATGTTTTGTTTTATGACCCACTAACTTAGCCAAAGCTGTCTGTGCAATCATGACGTTGAAGCTATCCATTGGAATCTGGTGGACTCAGGCAGTGGGTACACAACTAAAGACAACGGTTACTCCTCTTTTAGAATCTATCAGTAGCATATGGTTAGTGGTAACAGATAGGCCCCTCCCCTAGCAGCCCCTCTTCCTTCCATGGTTGTTGACAGGACCAGTCTGACTGTTGACTGAGCCAGTCTTGTGTCGGCCCAGGGTAGTCAACTTCAGTTGTAAGTTCGTGATTGCAATGGTTGCTCTGAGTCTAGAAGATGGTATTTTCATCCCTTTGCTTTTACCTCGTCTTCTAACTCTTCCATGTGCCCCACCTATATCAGCTTGTTTCTCTGTTGCTGTCATGAAACGATGTCCAAAAGCAACTTGGAGGCAAAAAACTGAAGCAGAACCACAAAGAAATGCTACTTCTTGTTCTCCATGGCTTGTTCAACTTGCTTCCACACACAATCAGGGCCACCTGCATAGGGATGGCGCTGACCACAATGGGCTAGACCTTCCTATAGCAATCATTAATCAAGGAAATGTCCTACAGACATGTCCACAGGCCATTCTCATGAAGATAATTCCTCAACTGACGCTCCCTCTTCCCAAGTGACTCTATTTGATGTTGACAAAACAATACAGAATAAGCCTCTTCTTTTGCAGTGTCCCCAGATCTTAAAGGGAGTTGTGTACATGACTTGTTTAGGGCTGAGCCTTAATTTATTCTCAGCAGCTTGGACAATCATGAGTCTCTGAATTCACTACTTTTCACTGCAAGGAGAGGGGTCTCTGGTTTGGACTTACAATAGACTTATGTCTATTTTAAGTGATAGATATTTCAAAGGCAATCTGATGTAATTTAATTAAACAAGAGTAGTAAATTCTCCATTTGAGCTTACAACCTCCTCAGTCAAATGGCTTGTAACCCAGCATATAATTCTAGACATGAGTCCCTTCTTAAATTTAATCAAAGTGGTTGGTAAACTCTACAGCATCCGTGCCACTGATGCATGGGTTGCATCCTGGTCAGAAAGTTGTTTTTCTCAGTTAGGAAGATGGATTCACAGCTGAGTAAAACAACTGCTTTGTTTCTCCCCCAGCAGCCTGCATTGAACCTTCTAGCACACTGAAAGCTAACCAGTAAGGAGGACACTTTTATCTCATCTCTAGCTTGCTTTTTCTCTATCTTGAAACAGAGATCTGTGCTGCCTGTAGCAATGTGACCTCATAGTCTAGTTCTGGTGGGCCACCAAGAGGACTAACAAGAGCCTAATTGTTTAGGGAGGCTTTGAAGCCTGCCTGGCCTATTACTGTGGTGGTATCTTACTTCTGGTGCTATGAAGTTTGTTTAGTACCTGCTGTTTCTAAGAGCTTCATTACTTAGCTATGCAGAGTAACTCCATTCAATTGTTCTTTTGTGTTTTTTATTTAGATTGGAAGATAGCAGCTTTCTATGTGACTTTTTCAAACACCCTTCATTTTGCTTAATCTACCTCAGCCCTCACTCTCATCTCCCCATCCCCCCATCTCCATTCCTGACCAAGTCATTCTATCCTCAGCATTCCCCCTCTGTTCCTCCCCGATTAAAGCATTCCCTATGTCACCTTCCTAGTATCCTGGCTTCATGTGTACTCTATGTTAACCAACACAACTAACATTTTAAAAATAGTGTTTAAATCCAGACAGAAGATTTTTGGTTCATCTACACAGGAAAAAAAAATCAAATGTATTTTCTAATAGTATTAGCAATTCATTTAGAGATAAAATTTGAATAGATGCATTAGCATTTGTGAGATACAGTGGATTGCAGGTCCACGTTTCTCAATTTATAAGAACATCTTAGAGTAACTAGGAACTGCCATCTGTGATGAATATAAAATTTGCTCTACTACTGTGTTCTCCATAAAGTCATTGAAGACATACCATTGAATTATTATAAGAACTACTATAGCATGATGACAAATTAAACAAATAATGCTAACAAGTTGAAAATAATACAATATACATGGATTATATATTCAATAGGAAAACAATTTTGAGACTTCTTTGCTAATCTGTGGAAGATTAATAATTAGCCTAACCAATAAATAGCTTTACAATAAAGCTATCGATTTGTTCTATGTTATTTTAAGGCACATCATTTCAATGAATGTAGAAGTAGCATAGAATTATCTCAATACTGCTATGTAAATTAATCTCAAATTATAATATGTATATACATTTTACCTGGTTTGTTTTCTGTATAGTGCCACCGAATATGGACAACGCAATGGGAACAGAGGAGATCGCAATTGTCAAAGGCAGTTCTACCTCTATGACATGCTTTACAGATGGAACTCCAACTCCAAGTATGTCTTGGCTCAAAGATGGCCAGCCTCTGGTGCTTGATGCTCATCTGACCATCGGCACTCAAGGGATGGTCCTGCAGCTCATCAAGGCAGAAACTGAAGATTCTGGAAAGTACACCTGTGTTGCCTCAAATGATGCTGGAGAAATCAGCAAGCATTTTGTCCTGAAAGTCCTAGGTACATAACTATTCTGATAAGAACAGAATATTTGAGAAGTCAGTGATGCTCAGTTATACTCAATGAGTATAATTCTTAGAATCATTCTTTATGGGTCAAAGGTTAATGAAAATTTTACTGCATTCCTGTTTCTGTTCTGTAATTCACCTAAATATGCCTTAACCACGTTGGAATCGAATGGTGAGTTGTCTTTGTCTGAAAAGATAAAAACTCCTATTCCTAAGAAAATGGAAAGGCATGATACTCTATTATCATCAGGCCTTTTAATGTGTGTGAGTTTGTGTGTTTGCGCACGCATGGATGCCCATGTGTGTGCAATGTGGAGGGAAGTGAGTCCGTGCAGAGACCTGGGGTTAAGGTTAGATAGTGTCCTCGATTGTTCTCTGCTCTGTTTTTTGAGGCAAGATCTTTCTCTGGACCTGGAGCCTCACAGACTGTATTGTCTTACCAGGGGATTGCCCCACCCATGTTCTCCTGAGAGTTGTAATTACAGGTGGCCACCATGCCCACCCTGCTTTCACGTGGGTTCTGGGGATCCTGACTGTAGTCCTCATGCTTGCAAGGCAGCAGCTTCATCTACTGGTCCATCTGCCCAGGTGCTAGTAGATGACTTTTTAACTTTTACTAAGAATTTAAAGCACATTTGATAATGGAAATTGGATAAAATAGGATAATATTTATACCATTATCCTGAAAAGTCTCAGATTATCCAATTTTAAGATTATAGTCAAAGCAATCACTTTGGATAGCCAAGTTCTAGTTACTTTGTGTACATTGAAAGGAAAATATTTGAAGTTTATTATCCAACATCTTACCAGCAAAAACCGTCATTAAAACAAATTACAGTTTTTCTGTGTAACAAACATCTTGACAGTGGACAGAAAAAGAGGATAAATGAAATCACCTGTTACAATAGTCAAGACTTTTTGAGTTTCTTTTGCCATACTCCTTTCAGAGAACAAACATTCCCCCTACTGAGAACAGAAAAAAAAGAGAATTTTGGCAGGAGACTTGGTTATGAGGGGCTAGCATATGTTTTCTGAGTGTTCTGTAATCTGTCTCAGGGCACCTATTAAAATTCAATTATTTATGTGACTTTTAAAGTTGTCTTTATCCCTACTTAAGTTTTATGATGGTGAGTGCAGCATGTGTCTTACTTATTGCTGGTGCCCACTGCTTAGCATGATGTCTGACATGCCAGAAATTCTTAATATGTGTTTGTTGGATTGAATCGAAACTAAACCAGACACTTCTGGGCTGGGCTAATGCGAGTGTTAACTGTAGAGAGAGGCAGAACAATATGCAAATAAACTTCACAAGATAGTCTGGTATATCTGCATCTTCAAAAGGAAAAGGTGGTAGCAGAAGAAAATTTTCCAGGCAATTGTAGAATTGAGCTGGACAGGTTACAAATCCCTACGTATCAGTTTGCCAACATGAGTAACAATGGATGAGGTAATGTGGCCTTGGTCTTCACTGCTCACATATTAAGTATTAATTGTTGTATGTACGCTATGTGCTGGACATGTTTCTATATGTCGACTGTAAAGGCCTACTATCTGATCCCCTGAATGTCACGCAGATGAATTATCATAGATTAAAGATGAGAATTCATCCCTCAATATCCTATGTCTGGAGTGGGAAGCAGAGAAACAAAAAAAAAATATTTTTGATTGTGATGAGGGTCGTGTGGTTAACATACATTCTGTGGGACAAGAAGTTTCAAATTAGATCTTCCCATAGATCTATCCTGGTGTGGTGGGACTTATCAGTGAGGGCAAAGTGAAGCTTTCTGCCCATTTTGCCTGTAGGAGATAGAGCTTCATTGTGAGTTTGTCCTCATGGAAACTGAGTATGAGTGGATGGAGTGAGGCTAGCTGAGACGAAGGCATCTGTGGGGGTCTTGACAGCAATCCAGGGACTTTAGACTCACTAAAAGATGAGGATAATTTTAAACAGGAATGTTACAAGGAATATGCAACTTAGAAAGTCCCTCCAGTGAGAGTAAAGAATGGGTTGAAGAAGATACTGTGTTTGTGCAAGCCTGAAAACACAAGGACCTGGTCTGCATGTAGCAATCCAGAGAGAGGCAGAAGCAGAAACATAGACAGAAACATTGCTGTAGCAAATAAAGGAGGGAGCAGCAATGATGATGCTGGGGTGATGTACAAGGCCCCACCCTCCAGGGCCAAGAGTTTATAGGATAATGCTTCCATGAAACAGGAAGATGAGAAGCGTCAGCATCTGCTGAAAACTAATCCCATTAAATTCTGAATAGCTTCTCAAGTGGAGCAGTGCCACTTCTCAGCTTGCAAACGTCTCCACTTGGGGGACTGCTGCACTCAACTCTGCATGTGGTGGGGGTGTCAGGGTCTGTTAGTGCTATTGAAAAGCACGGTGTGGCTAGGACACTGAAAGCAAGAGAGTACATCAAACAGTGAAGCTATGAGTTTCTCAGGGCCCAGGATGTCATGATGAATTTTTCACAATAGTGCATCTCCCAACTCTCATCAGAGGAGCTTCTTTTTGCAGTAGAAGGTGACTAATACAGAGATCTGTGACTACTAAATATGCAAAGACTAATAGACCTGGAAATTATCAGGTCTAAATGAGACAGCTGTATCACACCCATTCACAAAAGCCTCAAGGATGGTCACAGAGAGGGATCAGACAGAATGTAAGAGACAGAGGCAGTGGACATCTGAAGAAAAACAGTATTTGCTGGACATATCAAGAGCATTGTATACAAGAGCTTACAGCACCTATAACCGTATGCAGAAGACCTGCCCAGGATCAAGGCTGGAAAGATCCCAGCATGTATAGGAGAGACTCATGAAGTTCCAACTCTTAGCTGAAGAGCTATCAATAACTAATAGCTGATGGGGAAAAGAAAATCAGTTTTCCTCAGGAATGTGATCCCCTGAGAGGCTGCCCATGCCCCAGCAGAGTGCCTTTATTTAACCAGGGCACTTGCAGGCAGACACCAAGTGAATTCAACAAGTTTACAAACAGAACACATCAAATTGAGAGCTAAAGAGCAGGGGTGGGTATGGAGGAAATTAGAAGGGAATGGGGGTTTATTTAATCAAATGCATTTTATATTTGTTTTTCGTTTTTCGAGACAGGGTTTCTCTTTGTAGTTTTGTAGACCAGGCTGGTCTTGTACTCACATAGATCTACCCGCCTCTGGCTCCCAAGTGCTGGGACTAAAGTCATGTGCCACCACTGCCCATCTAAATGCATGATATATTTGTAAAAACTTCTCAAACTATAGATAAGTTAAATAAAATTCAAATGTATATGTAAATCCTGAAAGAAGGCACCAGTTTTATCTTCTAAAAATGAGACACAATTACAAGCTGTGGTAAGTACAATAACAAATAAATCTTCAGCTTGAAAAGAGCAGTCTGGCTGTAAAGAGTCAAGAGTGGAGAATGGATTCTGAGAACAGTATGCTATTAGGAATTGTGATGTTGGCCATTAAGAACAGTGTGGACATGGTGACACATGCTGGACCAGGTTGGCCATTTTCAGGCTTATATGAATATAACAGCTTCCTTAATTCATTCTTCATCATGTCACGAGTGTGATTTCTTTCAAAACTATATCTGATTCTAGAATTTCCTAGTTTAAAATATATCCTGGATTGTAATAAGATCTCAACTTGTTTCTGTGAAGCATTGGCAAACCCAGGGCTTTGAGCACGTTAGGTAAGCACTCTGTCACTGAGTAGCACCCTCAGTACTAATGTTTGCTTTTCTAAATAAGTGAGATAACTGTTGGGTGGCCATTGTTGCAGTGGGTAGGCAGTTGAGGTGTTTGCTCTTCTCTTGATGGACACATCAGGGTCAGTCTGTGACCTTGCAATGTCTCCTTCCCTTCAGCAGAGCTCAGAATAACTAAAGCAGGGCAGATAGGAAGACAATTGCCAAGGAACTGTCTCTTTATAGACTTTTTTAGACACTCCACAGAGAGCACTTAGACCTCAGTGGTCAACAGTTCTACATACCATTCCATCTAATACCTACTAAATGGGTTAAGAGATTATAATAATTAACCACTTTGCTAATCCTAACAAAACTGGGGATCACTTAAAAAGTAATCAATAACAAAATAATGCTAGATATATAAATGGGGCATCTATATCGTGTCCCCTCCCCCACAAGGCTTAGATAATCATAGAAAAGTTGTTAGAAGATTTAAAAAGCTAGAGTTTATGGAGAACTGGGACAAGATGGTGGCTTCTGGACCATTTCAAACTCATGGCAGCTGTGGTTGCCTGCACAAGACCTGTACAAGATGATGACAGTCGACATTCTGGAATGGATAGAAGAATTACACGAGCCCCACCCTAATGGAGGAGTTATGGACAATTGATGGCTTCTCTGGGAATGGAAGTTTTCTTTAGGGTTGTGGCCACTGATAATCACGCTTCAGTGGGTGGCCCAATAGCTATGCATGCATGTACAACCCAAATTGGACTCTGTGGGTTACATATAAATAAAAAGAAGGGGATGAAGCTAGAAGGAAGATGTGAGGGGATCCAGGAGGAGCTGAAAGGAGAGAGGGAGTCAAATATGATGGAAATACATTATGTACATGTAAGAAATTCTAGGGAACAGATTTAAATGTTATATTAAAAACCAAGGTCACAAGAGATGCACACAGCAGTCAAGACATGGTTTTATAATGGTAATAATAATAATAATGAGGAAGGGGGAGGTGCCTACAAACAGAAAGGAAGATGCACTGTAGTTCAGATTGTAGCGATGGAAATAAGAGAAATTACATTTTTTTCTGGAAATAATTGCAGCTTTTTTGAACTTGGTTGTGGATTTCCTATATGGAGTTAATGATGTGACTGTATCAAGGATGATTTTCAGTTCCCAGACTATGTGACTAAATGATGAGTAGGCCCATCACACAAGTACACAGAACACTGGGAAAGGAACCAAGACAACTGTCTGAATGCCAGCTAACTCTGGAGTGTTTATGTAAAACATAGACATGGAACTATTTAGCTGATGATACTATTTATTGCTTTAGGGCTCAAAATTGAGATTTAGACAGGAAATACAAATTCTTGAGTACTCTGAGTGGAGACAATTCCCATTATTTCGTGAGTATAAGACATAGGAGGCAAGTACAAAGTCAAATAGTTGGCCTTTACCTAACACATGTAACATCTGCAGACTAGAGTTTAAAGCAATAGGAACCATGCTGTTATGGCTGCTGCCCTACCCTGGTGACCATAAACTTCTCAGCAGGAAGAGAGCACCAATGAATCTTTCTACCTATAGGGCTGGTATATAGTAAATAATAAATAAGAATAAATGATGAAGAATTGAATTTATTGTAGTCAACTAGAAAACAAAATTAGTGCTTTTGCCTCTTACAAGTAACATAATATGGAACTGCAGGAGAGTAGAGAGTTTACAAAAACAGGGTTTGGATTATTTATGGAAGCTTCATGTTACTTGTAGAACTTTGATGGGACCACAACAAACTCAGGTAGTGGTTCGTGTTGACTTTCGAGAAACATCAAATGACAGGGCCAAATGAAGGAGAGAAGTTGAAGTCTGGGTCTCACATAACTATATTAAAGTAGATAATGCTGCAAGGTTTAGAAACTGATTTTCATTTAATTCAGTTAGCTATGTGAAGCCATTAGAATCTTTTAATCAGGAAACCACAGATCAATCTTATAATACGCGTAAAATATATTTTGACAGTCATGTGTCAGATGGGTTGAGGTGTAAAAGGGGACCTCCTGGATCACGATTAAGACACACAAGTCTGTTTGTCTTCTTCCTAATTGGAGTCAAAAAAGAGAGAGAGAGCCGGGCGTTGGTGGCACATGCCTTTAATCCCAGCACTTGGGAGGCAGAGGCAGGCGGATCTCTGTGAGTTAGAGGCCAGCCTGGTCTCCAGAGTGAAAGCCAGGATAGGCTCCAAAGCTGCACAGAGAAACCCTGTCTTGAAAAACAGAGAGAGAAAGAGAGAGAGAGAGAGAGAGAGAGAGAGAGAGAGAGAGAAATAGATTTTCTGTGTTCTCTTTTTCTAGATAGGAAAATGAGGGCTAACAAAAGTTTAAAGAGGAAATTTCAATAATAATGTAAGATGTTATAGTAGAGATAGTGACTGTTTTTTTTTAAAGAATTTAATTTAAAATAAAACATGCACAGGTTTAAAAAAAGAATGTGGAGGGTCTCATTGAATCTTTACAATGCTATAAGGTATCTCTTGATGCCTGGCCTCCTCCTGAAGGTTTGTCTAGCTCCACTGAGCTAACTCCTAGTGCTCAATTCAAACCCAGTCCAACATCAGGTCCTGTGTAATGAATCTGGTTCTTAATTTTGTGCCTGATTTAAAACAAACAAACAAAAAACTCAGCTTGCACTCGGAGCTGTCCAACATCTGCTTTGACTGCCTTCTGAACCCAAAAACCTGAAGCTTGAGCTACAAAAACTTTCAGAGTGATCACTGTAAGAAAAGTCCATTTTAAAAGGATTAAATTTTGGAGCAGTCAAGCCAAGGGTCCTGACTGTTTCTTCCCAATGTTTATACTCTTTAACTTTCTCTGGAGGAAGGTAATTTTGAAGTATAATTAGTAAAAGAGAATGTTACTCCTGCCTAGACATAACAAATACGTTCCGTGCAGAAATCACTGTCCCCAGGCTTCTGGAATCTTGCCAGTGAGAAGAACTAAAACCATCTATGAATGATCGTTTGCGTTTCCATATTCCAATTGTTTTATGTCATAGGCATATAAATTTGAGTAGGATTTTCTTTTGAGCTTTTTAAATCAGGAATATTTTGTCCAACAAGTTTCTTTTTCTGTTGTCTGATTCCATGTCAATAGAACCACCTCACATCAATGGATCTGAAGGACCTGGAGAGGTATCAGTAATTGTGAATAACCCACTTGAGCTGTCCTGCATAGCTTCTGGAATCCCTGCTCCTAAAGTCTCCTGGATGAAAGATGGCCGGCCTTTTCTACAGACAGATCAAGTGCAGATTCTGGAAGGAGGGGCCATCCTTCGAGTATCCAGTGCTCAAGTAAATGTCACCATGAATATGAACACTTTTTCTGCTTTACCTTCTTATTCCCTAGTGCATCATAACTATTGAATAATTTGCATCTGTGCCTCTAACTACATCCCTGATCCCTACAGCTTTGCCAAGGGTAGATGGCCTCTGTAATATCCATGACAGGGGAACTGAGTAGGAGGAAGATAAAGAATATAATACAATATTTTGAAGAAAATAAGATACCTTCTCATTAATTTAGCATGTTTTCAAATCTCTGTGTGTTAACATGTTTCATCAAGCTCTTACCTTTTTCTATGTAGTTCTTTACTACCCAACAGAAAGCAATCCAACATATAATATGTGAGATTTCAGACTGTACTTTTGATCCCCTCAATGAACTAGCCAAAATTGAAGGCTGGAGAAACAGTGTTTTAAGCAATGATCTTTCAGTAAAATTGAATGGTTCTTCTGACTTACATTTAAAGAAATTGATCAGAAATATGAACATATTAAAGATAAGTTTGGGATATATTTTAAATATTTTTCATATTAATAATAAAGGCAACCCTTATTTTACAAAGATTGATCATCAGAGCCCTAATGCCTTCATTTGTAAACTTCAGATAAAATAACAATGAAAATAATATGATGAGGATGAGGATGAGGATGATGGTAACATCAATTACATATTCTAGGGAGTCCAAAAGATAATGGAACATAATATGTTTACATTGGTGCCAAAGAAATACATTGCATAACAACAAAAATTAGATAAAAGAATTAGAATTCTTGCTAATGTTATAATCATCATTCTGTATGGTATAAAATAATAAATTATTTACATTTTTTACATTGAAAAAAGATGAAGGGAAGAATACTGGGTGAAGAGAGAAATAAACATGTGTTTTCCACTCTGTTGGTATTATGTTAGGCTTGGGGTCCTATCACACTCTTCTCACTACTGACCATTCTGAGAGGGAAAGTCTTCATTTCCACCATATAATCTTGAAAGAGTCCCAGCAACTCACTATAGTGAGTAACAGAGCCAGTAGACCAAAGATCAGCTCACCATCAGTGTCATGGAGCACATAACCTTCTTCTCCTTTCATTCCAAACATAGCAGGAACTCAGAAATGTCAGGTGAAATTTTCAATCCATGCTCTGAATGGAAACTCTTCAAGAATTTCCTTTCTGCCTCAAGAATTAAAATTTCATGCAAGATACCACTAGATGTGAGCAAACAAACCCCTGGAAACAACAGTGAGATGGGAAATGAAAATTGACCAAGTCTGAAGCTTGCCCTGCTTCTGCTGGTCCTGTTGTGTTGTCTTGGCATTTGTGCACACCTGTTACAGCATTTCCAACATTAAATTTTACAATCCTGAATTTTGTCTTTTGATGTATTCCTTGGCCATATATCATTTATGCCTCATCCATAATGGCTGCTGAGCAATTCTGGATTGAATGGTATTTTCCATCAAAAACTAAGTCTGTGACTTGCTCCCAGACAAGAGATGTCCTTCCTAGAGTAAAATACATTTGTTCAGCTTTGTCACTATACTTTCTTTTCCTGAATCATAGCACCTGTCAACCACTCTCCAATGCATCTACTCACCATGTTTCAAACATGTTACAGTAGATCACATATTAACCTGTAACTGTAAATATTGACTCTGGGTATACATAAAGAAACAAGTTGTTTGGAAATATTTCCTGGTGAAAGCAAAGTTTGAGTAGCCCCCATGATGCTTCATGTTTGGCAAACTGGAGACAAGTGAAAGGAATTTTCTGAAATGAACAAGAGTTGACAGAGAAGAGTTAAATGTTTTAAAGAGATAATGAGAAAAATCAAATGTGATTCTCTAGGAAATGATCTGAGAGAGAGAGAGAGAGAGAGAGAGAGAGAGAGAGAGCACAATGTGTCTGTGTGTAACATATGCAAATCAGTGTGTAGAGCATGTGGAGGCTGGTGTCAGATGTTAGGTGGGCTCCTCTATTACTGCCAACATTACTGGCTTGAGATGTGTCTGCTATTGAGTTGTGAGCTTACCTTTTCAGCTAGGGTAGCTGACCAGAGAACTTTCAGGATCCTCACAGCTCAGCTCTCCAGTGCTGAGGTTACAGGCACATGTAGCCATATGTGGCTCTTTAAATAGCTGCTGGGATTTGAACTCAAGTCCTCATGTTCTTCCACACTGAGCTATTTCTCTCAGATGGCCATTTTCTATCCTTAGTCAAAGGTGTGTGTGAACGTTTGTCTAAAGTATTTTTAACCATTTTTTTCAATCACTCTAGTGTTAAAGTTTTTCCAAAGGAATGAGTGTAACCTAACAAGAATCTTACTCATAACCTACAAAGTCAATTTTTAATATAAGAATGTTTAAATGCCAATATTCTGAGAATGTTTCAGTAGTAAAATAAGTGAGATGGTTAAGGCTTTCTTACATTATGAGGTATGTTTTTGTTAATAGTGAGGTCACCTGTTTACCAGAATAATATCTCCAGATGTGGTGTCCACATAATGCCAAGCATACAGATGAAAACCAATTTCCAACATAAAACATCTATGAGGATGTTTGGGTTTTAGTCAAGTAGATTCTGATGTCAAACCACATTCTATCACCATATATCTCAATGACAGAGTCAAGATGTGGTATTAATTTGTTTGGTTTAGTTATCTTATGGGTGTTTTTATCAGCTGCTTTTATAAATATACTATATTTCCTTCCAAAGGAGTGTAATTGAAGTTTATGGTCTGCAACTTGAACCTATGGATGTTTATTTCCTCAGATTTGATATTGAATATCTGATCTATCATACTTGGCACTAGATCTTTTATAAGCACACATAGATATACATAGCTATATGTTTATATGCCTTCTTGATATTCTTGTATGTTTCTAAAACCTCCTTATATATGTTATGTATAGCTGTATACATAACAGAGATGCCAACCAGCATGCAATATCAAAACACTAACCTTAATGATAAAGTTTGTTTCATCTGTTGCACTTCCTATGTTATTTTGCCTTTGTTGGTAACCTTAATAGTTCTAGTGAATTTGTACTTCCATCACCAACATTAGAATGTTAACACTGTATAATTTATTTGTTTGGGTTTTGTAGGTGGAGGACACAGGAAGATACACATGTCTGGCATCCAGTCCTGCAGGGGATGATGATAAAGAATATCTAGTGAGAGTACATGGTAAATTTTGTGATTTGTGTTTGATCCACACAAAAACCTCATTAGAAACTACATTAGAGAAGATAGGACATTTCACAGTACCTCATATGTCTATAAATTAAGAAATAGATATTCAAGAAATTTTATTGTTAATAACTTACATGCTATTTAGGGTGTAGTTCAGTGAAGTTTTCTGTTATTCATCTTGTTTTCATACAAACAATTATAGGTTTAAAATAAAAGCATATGAATTACAATAGGGAAGAGAATAAGAATAATTCTAGTCTTACCACACAAGGACACACTGTTTTTCATGTGAACATTTTATTGCAAAATGTGATCATAGTTAGACATAGTAGCACACATCTCTAGTCCCAGCTTTTATGGATGTTGAGTGGGAAGATTGCTTAAGCCTAGAATTTGCACCTGGCTGGGGAAACATAGGGAGATCCTAAATGTCAAATATAAAAAGTGAGAATAGAGAAGCAGACGTTAATTTGCTTTATGTCTCACTTAATGGTTTGAGGATCATTCTTATGTCAATAAATATATTTTATATCACCATTTTTAGGGTTGAATTTTGCCCTCTATTGTATAGTATCATTTGTAAGATTGAGTTTTGGCCTCTATCTTATTCCCTGCTGGTAAATTTTTAGGCAGTTTCTGCCTTTTTATGTGTGTACTTTGAAATCATTCTGCAGTACACTTATTTGTTTACCCATGCATGCATATATACATACACACATTGAAGGATTTTGGAAATCACAGCCTTATTATTTCCCAGAAAGTTTGTATTAACTAGAGCCCTTTGAATATTACTTTTATATATAAATTTAAACCATTCTTTGTGGGGAAGATTGTTTGAAAACTAAACAGATCCTCATTTGATTTTCAGAGCCTAAAAGACTAGACATGCAGATTATCTGGAATTGAAGTGCCCTACTATCCCTACTCAAAATTTAGACCTACCTAAGTAGATCCAAAATATGATTTACTAAGAAATATATCTGTATAAATCAATAAAATGGATATACTTCTTTGTGTCATGGTGAACAGTTCCTGATCTGATAATTTTTAATACTCAGGAGAAAGTATTACCCAACGTAGATGCTGACTGAAGGACACCTGTGTGCTTCCATTTTCTTATCACCTGTCAAATGGTGGCAATGATGTCTTATTATTTATGTCATTGTTGGTAATATTTCATTATTTAATTGATTTAATTAATTTAATTAAAATACTTCATTATTTAATTGATAAAGTGCTAAATAATAAATATTTAGTTAATTCTTTTATTTCAAAAATTGTTTTTTTTAATTTACATACCAACTCCAGTTCCCCCTCCCTCCCCTTCTCCTGTCCCCCAAACTCCCCCCTTTCCCACCCCCCATTCACTCCTCAGAGGGGGCAAGGCTTTCCTTGGAGACTCAACAAAGTCTGGTATACCAAGTTGAAGCAGGACCAAGGCCCTCCCTTGTGTATCAAGGCTGAGCAAGGTATCCAACCATAGGGAATGGGCTCCAAAAAGCCAGTTCATACACCTGGGATAGGCCCTAGTGCCACTGCCAGCAAACACACACACCCTCCCGCAAAAAAAAAAAAAAATAGATCAAGCTACAGTTAAATGCCACTCACATTCAGAGGGCCTAGTTTGGTCCCGTGCAGATTCCCCAGATGTCAGTCCATAGTCTGTGAGCTCCCACTAGTTTGGGTCAGCTGTCTGTGGTTTTCCCCATCAAGCTCTGGAGACACCCCCCATACATATGATCCCTCCTTCCTCTCTTCAACTGAACTCAAGGAGCTCGGCCCACTGCTTGTCTGCGGGTCACTGCATCCAGTTTGTTAATTATCTGGACCATAAATTGAATGACTAACAGTTAAAGTTCATGCCTTATATTGTATAGGAGACCTAACTGTTGTTGGACACTGAAAGAGTATTGACATCCAGTTTATCAAATGCGATTGATATTGTGTTCCTATGCTTAGTGCCTCCTAATATTGCTGGAATGGATGAGTCCCAGGACTTCACGGTGTTAAGGAACAGACAGGTGACATTGGAGTGCAAGTCAGATGCAGTGCCTCCACCTGTGATCATGTGGCTCAAAAATGGGGAGCAGTTACAGGTAACCCTTCTGCTTGACTCTACATATCCATTTGTAAAAGGCAAAAACAGCTGAGGAGCCACTGCTAAGTAATCAAAACCCAATCACTTCCAGGTAGTAGTTAGTCACAACTGCACAGGCAGGCACTGGGGCCTTCAGTGCACTGCCTTCCCATTCTAGTCTTCGCTTAGTAGTTGATCTGGGTGAAAACACAGATATTTAGACTATGAGTCTCTGGAAACTGACACATGGTTTGATTTCTTGAAGCCTGGAGATTAAAGCACAAATTAAACTCTCAGCTCCAGGATGGAGCTGTGACTGACTTTCCCTGGTCATAATTTGGGCTCAGGGGTGACCTGGCACATCTATAATATCCCCACCTACAAGTTTCGGTACCAGAATCCTAAGGAGCAGTCAAAGATTCCCTAAGGCTCCCTACACTTAGGTGATGCCTACTGCCAACGGTGCATCAGCTCAGGATTCTCACCGCCATTTACAGCCAAATGAAAGCTAACTTTGAAGGCTTTCTTTATCCTAACTCTGCTAGTCACTAGCTTCCAGCGTTGGTGGCACACACCTTTAATCGTAGCACTCGTGAGGCAGAGGCAGGTGGATCTCTTGAGTTCAAGGCCAGCCTGATCTACAGAGAGAGTGCCAGGATAGGCTCCAAAGCTACACAGAGAAACCCTGTCTCAAAAAACCAAAAAGAAAGAAAGAAAGGAAGAGAGAGAGAGAGAGAGAGAGAGAGAGAGAGAGAGAGAGAGTGAAGAGATCCAGTACCTCTCAGAAAAGGAAGAGACAGAGGGGAAAGGAGAGAAATTCAAACACACACACACACACACACACACACACACACACACAAACAAACAAAGCACACTTTACAATAAATAAAATGTTTTATTTTATTTCACTGATAGCTTGATGATAGATTTTACTTTCTGAATCCAGGCAACACCTCGAGTAAGAATCCTGTCTGGAGGAAGATACTTGCAAATTAATAATGCAGATTTGGGAGACACAGCCAATTATACCTGTGTTGCCAGCAACATCGCAGGAAAGACTACAAGAGAATTTATTCTCACTGTAAATGGTAAGAAAACTTGTTGTTTCACAACTTGATTATTTCACCAGCACTATTAGAAGAGATGATAATGTTTTTCAGGAGCTTATTAAATGCGTCCTTGTGGTCACATTATTTAGTTGGAAATAGCACCTTGCTAGATGGATATTAGACCAATATTGCAAATTAATTCAACCCCAAAATGTAGATCTTGAGGTATATCACATCGTAGAGGATACACCACACACATGCACACAGACACACAGGGACACTCTCACACAGGCACATTCTCACACAGGTACATATACACACCCCATAGACACACACACCACATGCACACACGCATGCAAACACATGTACACACAGAATTATTAGCAGATCCAGATGGTCTATGCTATGCCGCTGAGAGGAAACCATCACACTACATCTGTGCATGACAAATGGCCCATCATTTAGTTTGCCTTTATTGCTGGTGGCTTGATAGCATACTGTACACTCACAGTGTTACAGTTTTCTTAAACACTGTCATTCTACTGTAATTTTCCTAAATATGCATAACTTGCTGCCAAACCTTGCCAATATTCAGGAAGATATGTAGATTTCCCTCCATAACAATCCCTTTGGATTTTAACACAAGAAATTTTACAACATACTGCATGACCCACACAACTAATATCTCTAATACTAAAATTAAAGTTCAGGCTTTGTATTCCCACATGAACTCTATGATTAATAAAATGTCTGTTCTGGGACTCTCTTGATTAACCACAGATGTGCTTTTCATTAAAACAGCCCACTTTCTGTTCTTTATTTAAAGTGAAGCTGTTCCAGCATTAACATTCTTTGACCATTATTTGGCTAAAGAGAAATAAGAAATATCAACGTTAATTTACATCAGACCGAAGCTGAATTTTACTCACGCCTCTCTCACAGAGAGCCAGGTTTCACATACTATGTCAAGGATTTAAATTCTCCCCATTTATTCTTTATTTTCAAATGCAGAATGTCTTGAGTAAGACTTTAAGAGTTAGACTTTAATTCTATTTATTCCAACCTAGATTAGTGTAGACAAAGTTAATCACTTCACTTAAAGTTCTCCTTACATCTTCAGATTCTTAGTGAAGGCTGTGTTATTTATTTTAACTAGACTTGTGTTTGTTTCTTGTTCAGTTCCTCCAAGCATCAGTGGTGGTCCCCAGAGTCTCGTCACCCTCTTAAACAAGTCAATTGTACTGGAATGCTCTGCTGAAGGTGTGCCAACTCCAAGGATGACATGGAGAAAGGATGGGGCTGTGCTAGCTGGGAGCCATACAAGGTAACAGTTCTAAAAGGGGAAGAAAAATACTACAATGAGAAGTTGAAAAGTGAATCTTCAAATACTTTTCTGATGCATTGTTTTGCTCTAACTATGTTTAGAACTAATATTTTCATCCTAAGATGAGATTCAAATTTGGTATTTTGCAAGCACAATTTCCATGATCCATCAAGACCACAAGCCTGCGGAAACACACCTTCATACTGCATCCCGTCCCTCCTCCAAGGGCACTGTAAATATCTGCCACCTGAAGCAGAAAAAGACTCACAGTAGATTTCACCAAATCTTTAATGCTTATCTGAGTCACAGGGTAAATAATTGAAAATGATTGATTCAGAAGGATGTACCTCTAATCTTTCTTATAGATACTCCATCTTAGAAAATGGATTCCTTCATATTCAGTCAACACATGTCACAGATACAGGACGGTATTTGTGTATGGCAACCAATGTGGCTGGGACAGACCGTAGGCGAATAGATTTACAAGTCCATGGTAAATATATATAAATTTACAAAAAAATCCAGTCTTTGGGCCAAATTGTTGTTGTTTGTGGTTTTTTTGTTTGTTTGTTGTAACTTAAACTAGTGACCTCATGAAGAACTGCACGTCAAAGGCTAATTAAGCATATCCCACTGCATTTTAAACAAGACAAGGCTCATGCTATCTCTTTACTGTGGGTTGTATCACCATTGTACAGTTTGTGATACTTTACTGTTCCTTAGTTAGATAGCAAGTTATTAATGACAAATTCCAGGTCATCAGACATACTTCAAATAATTTGCTATTTGCTGGGTATGTTTCCCTCTTATTGTTTTAGTTCCTCCATCTATTGCTTTGGGTCCTACCAATGTAACAGTAACAGTGAACGTCCAAACTACTCTGGCTTGTGAAGCTACTGGGATACCAAAACCATCCATCTACTGGAGAAAAAATGGGCATCTTCTTAATGTGGATCAAAATCAAAATTCATACAGGCAAGATTAATTCACTTATTTTAAATATGTGTTCATTTCCAGCTGACACAATTGTACATAGTTATTGGTACTGTTGGTTTTTAATACATTTATATGATGTATAATGACTAGGTTAGGATAATTGGCAGATCTGTGACCCCATACACACACATTTCTCTGTGTTGAGAACATTAAAAATCCCTTCTAACATCTATTTTGAAATGTTTGGATAATTACTGTCAGACATACTCCTCTAAGCATCTGCATTTCTGTGCCGCCTTTACCACACGTCCCTCCACTGTATCATTCTGTTAGCCCAAAGTTTTTGTTTGTTTACTTTTGGAAACTCAAACTCACAGAGATCTACCTGCCTCTGTCTCCCGAGTGCTGAGATTAAAAGCATGCACCTCTACTGCCCGGTCTCAACTTTTTATCTTCAATATATAATGAGAACAAACAGCCTTCTCTGTGCCTGACATGGGATACCTGCTGAGGAGAACTGCTAACAGGTAGTGGAACCAGTCCCTGCCACTTTCCCTTAGCATAATGCCATAAAGATGATTCCATTGAACAATCCAATGTAGCATTTCAAAAACATTTTTTTAATTAACTAAAGTTTTAACCCCATCAATAGGGACAGTAAATACATAAAGAATAAAGAATTGTCCAGTTGGTAGAAAATATTTCCCTTAATATGGAATTTGATTTCCAACCTATTTTTTTTAAAAAAATAAAATGTACAACTTTTCTATACACAAGCCCTATGTGGCTGTTGGAGATGTACTGGTAACTTTGCTGGCGGATTTGAAGATGCTTTATGTGAAGTGTTTCAGGTGGAGTCAGGGACACATCCCGTGCTATTAAACAGTGGCTGTCAATATATTTTGTCCACTAGGAGAAGCAGTATGATTATGATACATGCATTCAGCAAATGCAAGATTCAGTGTTCAGACAATTCCTCCAGGCAACTGTTTCTTACTAACATAAGGGTTACTGCAATTGTCAAAAAGTAAATTTCAGTATTTAGCACACAAATTTCATTGCTAAGTTATATGAACCTTAAAAGCAAGAAGCCCATTTTAGTCAGATAGCCTCAAGACAGTGGATTTCTAACTTTGTCACTACATGGTTTTTAAACAGACATTTTATTTGGTCATGCAAATTTGACATGCAAAATTTGCATCAGATAATTATGCTCACTTAACACACAGGGGGAGCCCTTTTCCCTCAGCTAACCTCGGTACCTTACTATGCTGCCTGCAAAATATGGAAGCTAGTGTATGGAACCTCACGTGTGGAATCTCTCTTCTAGGCTCCTTTCTTCGGGTTCCCTTGTAATTATTTCCCCCTCCGTGGATGACACTGCCAGTTATGAATGCACTGTGACGAGTGATGCTGGAGAGGACAAGAGAACAGTGCATCTCACTGTCCAAGGTAGAACTAGCTTGGAAGTAAATAGAATGACATATGCTTCTGTCTTTTCACAGCCTTTCTGTACCTACTTGACACTCACTCTCTGAGCATCAGGAAGAAGGGGGACAAAATGGCTTCGGGAATGAATGTGTAAGCAATGGAATGGAAATGTGTGGTTTTCTCTTGTTGCTGTTTTAGTTCCTCCCGCCATAGCAGATGAGCCTACGGATTTCCTGGTAACCAGACAGGCTCCAGCAGTCATGACCTGCACTGCTTCTGGAGTTCCAGTTCCCTCAGTTCACTGGACCAAAAATGGCATAAGACTGCTTCCTAGAGGGGACGGTTATCGGATTCTGTCCTCAGGTAACAAAAACATGTTCTACTGATTGGAGTAGTTAGCAATGGTGGCCTTGGCCAGCCTTTTGTTACAACATAATGAAAATGAAAAAGAAAAAAAAACCCTTTATTCCTAAAATGCAATTATGATAAGAAGGGGAAGTAGATTTTAAAAGGGGAGGATAGAAACAAAAAATAGTGTAGTATCTAAAACTGATCTTATAAGCATGGTCACACGTACACTAAACTGCAGACTTAGCAAATTCTCTCTCCTTACCTGAGAGTCATACTTTTTCCACTGACCAAATAAAATGTCTGTTTAAAAACCATGTAGTGACAAAGACAGAAATCTACTGTCTTGAGACTATCTGACTAAAATGGATTTCTTGTTTTTAAGGTTCATATAACTTAGCAATGAAATTTGTGTGCTAAATACTGAAATTTACTTTTTGACAATTGCAATAATCATAATTTGTACAATTTTTGGTACTGAGGGGAAAATGATTTAACTGAATGAAAACATGGGTGATTTTCACTGAAAATAAATCCTTACTAGGCAGGTATAACAGAGACAGACTGAGTAGCACCTCATGTCCTGAGATTTCAGGAGTGTGTGTATTGTTCTAAGAGAATTTGTGTGTTTCTTGAATACATGGGAAATAATGGGACATTAACTATAAACATATAGCTTCGGTTTTAAAGGAGTATATTTTGGCTATCTAGGGTAGATATGTAGATTTGTTAAAATTCTATCATAAAATAGAAGGTGGCTACACCAGTGTAATCACAAAGTTCTGTGTTAAAAACCAGTGTAGAAGTTTCTTGAGATTATAAGTAGAGTTGCCATAAAGTCATCAACTCCATCCAGGGTCTCTATCCAAGACGTGAAATCCTGTCTGCACACAGACTCCATTAGAGATGCTCACACAGTCATTCACAATAGCTGAGAGGGAGAGCCATTCAGATGCCCATCAGCTGGTGAACAGACACACAAAAGTGGTATTGTCCACAAACAGGAAACCTGTTTGGCTGTAAAGAAATGGATGCAATACTGCACTTGCTAAAAATGAATGAATCTCAAAAATATGCTTGTAGTGAAATTAGTCAGTAACAACAGCAAAAAGCCAGAGTGTGTGATTCCACCTTGACAGAGTACTTAGAAAAGGCAAACCTGTAGGGGAAGCAGGTGGGTGGTTATGGCCCAGAGGTGGGTTTGGAAGCTGGGAGTGACCGCAAATAGACACTAGTCTGTTGAAAGGTTTCAAAAATTAGGTTGCTTTATCACTAATTAACTCTGCAAATATCAGGAAAAAAAACTCATTAAATGGTATTCTTGGTGGCCTTTCTGATAAATAAAGTGTGCATCAATAAAGCTATTACCAAATTAAGCACTTGTTGATGACTTTAAAAAACATGAGAAAGACATAACTCATTGAATTAGGAAAATAAAGGTACTCTATATTAAAACTTTTTCTGTGGGAGACAGAGACATGAAGATGGTAAGCTCCAGGTCAGTTTGAGTTACATGTGAGGTTTCAGGATAGTCTGGGCTCTGAGGCAAGACCCTGTCACAAAAACAAACAAGAAAAAGAAAAGCACTTTTTTTTTCCCCTGTAGGAGCAATTGAGATATTTGCTACCCAACTAAACCATGCAGGAAGATACACTTGCCTCGCTCGAAATTCAGCTGGCTCAGCACACCGGCATGTAACCCTTCGTGTCCAAGGTATACAAGGCTGTTTGTTCAGTAAAGTCTTGCTGGGCCCATGGAGCTCTTCTCTAGCATGTGCAAAGCCTGGGGCTTGCCCCAAGCACCATGCACTAAATGTTTGCTGCTCTTGGAGGTAGGAATAATTATTTATTTAGGTTTTCATTGTCACATTTATTTTTAAAAGATGGTATTATGTCATAGTAATGCCTTGGGAATATGTAAACCTGGAACATATTATTCAATAGATGAAAATTACACATGGATGACAAAACCCACAGAACAACCTAAAAAATATGTTTCTTCTTTGGGTTTTGTGATCTCTTCCAACATTGATTATTTTTTCCATTAGAGTTCTTTTACTACAGCTGCTATATAACAAGATCTAAAGAACATAAGAAGGCCAGTCATAGCTTTTCTCTTGTACAATCAACTCACTGATGTTTGGGGATTGTGGATTTAGCACATTGAAGCTTGTCACTGTAACAGGCTGTTCTGTTTTATAATAAGCAATGTTATTCTTTTTGTTGGTTGGATTCGCAGAGCCTCCAGTCATTCAGCCCCAGCCAAGTGAACTGGATGTCATTCTAAACAACCCCATCTTACTTCCATGTGAAGCAGCAGGAACACCCAGTCCATTCATTACTTGGCAAAAAGAAGGCATCAATGTCATTGCCTCAGGTACCTACCATGATTTCATGGGAGATACGTGCAGCATACATAGTGCTTTGTGATTCAGAAATCTGTCTGACTTTTTATAAAGCGAAAGTAAAATTTCTTTTCACTCTGTTTTTGGCTATGGTGTAGGCAAAAGCCTTGCTGTTCTTCCTAGTGGCAGCTTGCAGATCTCCAGAGCTGTTCGAGAGGATGCTGGCACTTACATGTGTGTGGCTCAGAACTCTGCTGGTACAGCCTTAGGAAAAATCAAGCTGAATGTACAAGGTACTTGAGTAATTTATACTCTTTGAATTCCAAGATGTGTGTAATGATAGATACTAATTGTTCATATGCAATTATTATGCTTGCTCCTCCCCACAGCTATCTTCACTCTTAGCTTATAGTATATTACCTTTTCCCCTAGAATCTTCCTATAGAAGATGGTGTAACATTGTTCTTTTCACATCGTATGAGAAAACTAGGACCTCCATCGTATGAAGCACTACTTGATGGAAATCAGATAAATTGAGCGATTTTGTTAGGTCAGTGGTTAGGGTACTACTCTTTGGGGTAAGGAATGAGATAATAGATCAACAATGAATAAAGCTATCTTGCTAAGTGTCTATGCTGGTGTGACCAGACAGTGGTTGCCGCATCTATCTTGACCAGCAAGAGAAACACGACCACGACTCTTCTTCAAGCAGTTTTATTCAGGAACCTTGTACATTAGCTTCTCCCTTCTCCCAGCCCCCGAAAGCCCTTAAGTAGATGCTCAGTGCCCAATCAGCTCATGCCATCTGGCAATCCCGGATAGGCCACAGAAGGAGGAAGCACACCAGATGCCTCAAGCACTTCCAAATAAGGCTTGTTTACAGCTAAGCCAGGCGCCATCTTAGGGCTGTGGCTCCCCACAAGTGGTGGGCAAGAAAAGCATGAAAGGGAGTAGACCCAAACAGGGCCATTGATAAAGGAGCAGACATACTATAATAGGGTTGGCTGCATTCTCTGCACAATGTGAAGGGTGAAGCCAGAATTCCAGTTCAGTGTGGACTAGACATTTTTGGGTGCTGTGTAGATAATGCCTTTAAGGATAGGAAAGAGTGGAGCTGTCTAGTTGAGGTACCATGACCTGAGAGAGAGGGCCAAGCTTTGAGCTGCATAAGAGTTAGGAGAGATTATAGATTATAGATGTCTTTGGAGGTGTAAAAGCCAAGACTGTTGATGCATTCAAGATCAGAAGAAGAGATTTGTGTTTGCTGAGCTTCAAGTTAGAGCTTGAAGAACTAGAAGTGCCATGAGGGAACACTAAGAGGAGGAAGCCATGGTTTCTGCTGAATCACATTGAATGCAGGGAACTTAAAAATCTTGATGCAAATGTCAGCTACAACATTGACTGTGTATTAGAGTTCATGACAGGTGTATAGTGTAAGACAAGAGCTCGTAAACAGTCAGTGTTAAATGCAGAGAGTAGATGTGATTCCCTGAGGAAAGAGCATGGACAGAAAAAAAGACTAAGGACAAAGTCCTGGGACAGCGCATAGTTTTGAACTCTGACAACAGAGACTACACGGGGGAGGCAGAGGAAACCTGGTTGGAGGCTGGAGGAGAATAATGTTTAAGAGAGTAGTTTGGGATGCACTGTAGTCACAGAAGACTCCGAGTCAAAATTATTCATTAGTTTCCGCAACATTGTGGTCATAAAAATAGAGCTTCATATTTGAATTTTTCTTCACTAAGTGGTTAAAATGGTTGAACAACAAAGAGACAAAGACACATTAAATATCAGATAGTATCTAATCATTCCATAAACAGAGAGAGATAACTGTAGTCCTCAGAGGCTCGAGAGATTCTAGACAGGGCTGTCCTTGTAAATGGAATGTGCTGTGGGAAGCACACATTCAACCAGGTAATTCTAGGTGCTGTAAGTAATCTTAGCACTGACATTTTGAGTCATTTTATGGTGAATGGTTTAAGTCTTGTTAGAGAATCCCAATCGGGTTACTGAAATGGGAAAAATGTCTATATAGTTATTTTCTGGAATCCATTCCTCTGTGCATTCATTTGTAAATACTGTACTGTGTTGAGACATCATGATAAGCTCTCTGGAAAATGCATGGGTGAAAATATCTGTGAGCACTGTAGTATTTTACAATGCCTGCAGGGGTCCATTTTAGAAGTTTAAATAGCCAAAAGTGGATCTAGAAAGTTTGTGGATGGTTAAACACTTCTCTAGACCCTCATGATTCTCTAAAACACTGTTCTGATGAGACCCTTTGCAAACCCTCATGAATATGTGTATCTCATTTAAAATCAATTACTGCTTACATTTGTTAATGTATAAAGACCTGTTTTCTGAAATAAGCTAATGAATTGTAATATTCCAGACAAGACCAAACTACAGCGTTCAGTTCTGACAGTCTAGAAGATGTGGGGCTTTGTTTCCTTGAGATGTTACTTTACTGCCACAGAGCTATGGGAGGTAATCTGTACTCTCAGTTTGTGCCTTCTGTCGTTTAGTTCCTCCAGCCATCACTTCTCATCAGAAGGAGTATGTTGTTGCTGTGGATAAACCTGTCTCTCTACTGTGTGAGGCAGAGGGCTTCCCATCCCCTGACATTACGTGGCATAAAGATGGTCATGCGCTTACTGAATCCATCCGCCAGCGCATCCTGAACTCAGGCGCTCTGCAGATAGCATTTGCTCAGCCTGATGATGCTGGTCGGTACACATGCATGGCAGCTAACGCGGCAGGGTCAAGCAGCGTGAGCACCACACTCACTGTCCATGGTAGGTTGTTTAACATGATTTATTTCCGTCTGCTGTGTCACTGTGGCAACAAGAAAAGATCACCAAGAACAAATGTGATGGAAGTCAAAGCCAGAGTGGTGTGGAGAAGAGTGTCTGTGTGCTTGACTTTCAAGTTTGTGTACCCAAGCTGTGTTTGCTTGTGTGTGTACACATCTGTGTGAGAGATGACATCAGTTTTTCCAGGAAAATTAGTGTATGACTGGCACCCCCTTCATACTGTGACTGTTGGGGTTGTCTGGCTTATGGGGTGACCATGTGTGTTCTGTGGCTCTTCTGTTTCACTTCTTGAAGCTTCAAGCCATTTGGGCTCAAAAATAATAAGCATATGACCTAGATAATATAGGCAGTTTGAACCTCATAAGAACTAAAGATTCATTTGATTCATTATTGCAAAGTAATGCAACATTCATCTATACATTTTTTTTTCTTTTCTTTGTATTAAGATATATAACAAAGTATCTAAAAATCAGCATTAATGAGCTGGAGAGATAGCTCAGTCATTAAAAGCATTGGCTGCTCTTCTAGAAAACCCTGGTTCAATTCCCAGCACCCACATGGCAACTCAAAGAAGTCTGTGAAGCCAGCTCAGGGGATCCAATACCTTCTTCTGGCCTCCATGGGCACTGGGCATAAATGTGTACAGACACACATGCAAGCAAAATACTCATGCACATAAAATAATCTTTAATATATATTTTAAAAGTAAAGTAAATATCAGGATTAAAATGTTAGTTTTATTGTGTTTTTCAAGACTAATGATAGCATTTCTATTAGTGTTACTGGTAGGAAACAATAACAAAATAAGCTTTCTCCAACTACTATTTTCTGGAGTATCTTTTTTTAAATCAGTGGCTTTTGCTCTTTACTTTATTAAAAATTTGCAAAATCTTTATTTTCAAGTGCATCTGACTTTGCTTCAACTTCAAAGCAAGCATGATTATTTCAAGTAGAATTCTTTTTAATTAAGTAATATATTCGAGTTAAAAATCAGCATTTCTGAGTTTTCCAAATAACCTTCTTGCTTTTAGTTAATCTATTGAACTAGTGTTTGCACATTTAATCTTTAAGCAAAAAAGTTGTTAAAGCAAAAATGTTGTTCTTTTCAAATATCTGTAGATATTTTATCAAAATTGTCCGTGTGTCAAGTAACAACAAAACCATTAATATCGTTTTAAAATACAAGCCTCAATACCTGTGCACCAAGGTATATAATAAGGGCACACATTTTTTGGTGAACCATTAAAACCAAAACTGCAGTCATAGGCAATTAAAAAACAAAAACAAAAATACTTCTAGCTAACAAGTAGGTTTGATATATGGTTTATTTTCCAAATTATTTAAAAACTATTTTTAAAATTAGGCATAGATATTAAAAGTACCATGTATGGCCAAAGGCCAATGCCACCTAAAAAGTCACAGCCTTAATGTTTTACTTCAAACAAATAAAAAAATAAAAGAAAGCTACAATGTGCAAGGTATGGTAGCACTGGGCTGAAATTCGAGCACTTGACATATATATATATTATGGTTTCCAGCTCGGTGTTTCTTTTTCCCTCTTTTTTTAAATTTAGAAACAATCTTATTTTACATATAAATCCCTCCATTTCCTCTCTCTCCTATCCTCCTATTTCCCCAACTGATGCACCTCCCATCCACTCCCCAATGATAATGAGGCCTTCCATGGGAGATCCTCAAAGTCTGTCACATCTTTTGGGGAAGGGCCTAGGCCCTCCTCCATGTATCTGGGCTGAGAGAGTATCCCTCCATAGGGAATGGGCTCCTGACATCCATTTGTGCTCTAGGGATAAGTACTGGATCCACTGTTAGAGTTCCCATAGACTGCCCGGGCCTCCTAACTCCTCCCACATTCAGAGGGCTTGGTTCGGTCCAATGTTGGTTCCCCAGCTTTATGACTGGGGTCCATGTACTCTCACTATGTCAGGTAAGCTGGTTCTGAAGGTTTCTCCAGCAAGGTCTTGACTCTTTTGCCCATCCCTCTTCACTTTCTACAACTGGATTCCAGGAATATGGCTCAGTGCTTAACCACATGTGGGTGTCTGCTTCTGCTTCTGCTTCCATCAGCTACTGTATGAAGGCTCTAGGATGGCAATTAAAGTGGTCATCAACCTCATTATAGGGGAAGGGCATCAAAGGCAGCCTCTCCATTACTGCTTAGATTCTTAGTTGGGGTCATCTTTGTGGATCTCTGAACATTTCCCTAGTGCCAGATTTCTCCTTAAATCTATACTGACTCCATCTATTAAGGTATCTCTTTCCTTGCTCTCCTCTATTCCTCCCCTGACTCATCTTCCTGCTCCCTCATGTTCTCCTCCCCTCTCCTCTTCTCCCCTTCTCTTTTTTCTATCTCCCGTACACCCAATTTACTCAGAAGCTCTTATCTCTTTACCCTTCTCCAGGGGACCATGTGTGTCTCTCTTAGGGTCCTCCTTGTTTCCTGAAGATGTGAATTGTAGGCTGGTAATTCTTTGCTTTGTGTCTAATATCCGTGTATGAGTGAGTACATACCATGTTTTTCATTCTGTGAATGGGTTACCTCACTCAGAATGGTTTCTTCTAGTTCCATCCATTTTCCTGCAAATTTCAAGATTCCATTGTTTCTTTTCTGCTGAGTAGTACTCCATTGTGTAAATGTACCCCATTCTCTTTATCCATTCTTCAGTTGAGGGGCATCTAGGCTGCTTCCAGTTTCTGGATATTACAAATAGTGCTGCTATGAACATAGTTGAACAGATGTCCTTGTTGTATGAATGTGCATGCTTTGGATATATGCCTAAGACTGGAATTGCTGGATCTTGAGGTAAACTGATTCCCATTTTCCTGAGGAACTACCATACTGATTTCTAAAGTGACTGTACAAGTTTGCACTCCCACCAGCAATGAAGTAGTGTTCCCCTTTCTCCACATCCTCTCCAGCATGGATTGTCATTGGTGTTTTTGATTTTAGCCATTCTGACAGGAGTAAGATGGTATCTCAGAGTTGTTTTGATTTGCATTTCCTTGCTGGCTAAGGATGTTGAACACTTTCTTAAGTGTCTTTCAGTCACTTTTGATTCCTCTATTGAGGATTCTCTATTTAGTTCTGTACCCCACTTTTTAATTGGATTGTTTGGTGTTTTGGAGACTAGCTTATTGAGTTCTTTGTATATTTTGGAAATCAGTCCCCTGTCAGATGTGGGGTTGGTGAACATCTTTTCCCATTCTGTAGGCTGCCATTTTGTCTTGTTGACTGTGTCCTTTGCCCTACAAAAGCTTCTCAGTTTCAGCTTGGTGTTTCTGTGGGATTCCCAAGTACGTGAACGAGTGGGTTTTTTATTCCCTCATGCTCCTTTCCTTTTGTTTGTTTGTTTTGTCCAATTCCAATGTGTTAGTTTTTGTTATACTTTCGTATTTTATTATCCCTTAGAACCCTGTTTGTTTTCTAATGAGAGACAGAAAGGGGTGTGTCCAGAAGGGAAAAGATGTAGGAACTACCTGGAAGGATTAGAGGGAAGGGAAACTGTAATCAGGACATATTATGTGAGAGAAAAATCTATTTTCAATAAAAGGAAAGAAAGAGGACATGAAGTTTAGAGGGAGATGTGCTGGAGGGATTTGGGGAGGAGTTGTACAGGGAAAGAAGAATGGACACAAGTAGTAGACATTGTATACATGAATGAAATGAAATCAAAATGAAAACTTCATTTTCAAAGAATAAATAGGAAATACTATTTAAGAACTTGTTTCTTTCATGCAGCAATAGACTAATAGGTTTTGTTTTTGTCATATTCCTAGCAAAGTCACAGGGGTCTTTTACGTGTTGACTTTTCAATGTGAGCTCAATTTTCTGGGTGACTGTCTTTAAATTCTTTGTAGTACCTCCTAAGATCCAAAGTACGGAAGTACACTACACGGTCAATGAGAACTCCCAAGCTGTTCTCCCGTGTGTTGCTGATGGAATCCCCACGCCTGCAATTCACTGGGAAAAAGACAGTGTTCTTATAGCCAACTTGTTAGGGAAATACACTGCCCAGCCATATGGAGAGCTCATCTTGGAAAATGTTGTGGTAAGTTTAATGGATGTGAATACAGACAGGAGAGCCAAGTGATTAATCCACCTCCTTTTTCTTCTTCTTGATTTAGCTCGGAAGTATTTCCTTTAATACTGAAAGGAAATACTCTTATAAATTCAATGAAAGATTGATTTCTCTTGCATTTCATTTTATATGCTTGGAATTAGAAGTGTGTTTGACAAAAGAGCTGACACCAATAAATGGCCTCCTCCTAAAATGATTGTTTTACTTTTGTGGAAAAATTCTAAGTGGTTGTGCACTCATGATGTTTGCAAAGTCAGGTACTTAATTCCTCCCATATGATGCCTTGACATTGTTGAAACATTTATATTTAAATTGATTTGTCCATTAGTGTGTATGTTTATATATATATATATATATATATATATATATATATATAAAATTTTTAATTAGAAAAAATACCAAAAATGTCTTTCTCTATGTAGGTTTTTAAATAACTCTTTCTAATAATTGACTTTAAAATGGAAACTCTATGGAGCTATGCAAAAGAGATGTTTAATGGTCTCAGGCATACTGTTTGAGGTCTGTGGAACATTTGCCATCAAGCAAAAATAGCTTCGTTTCCATTGTGACTGTACTTAAGAAATCTGTTTTTGGATGCAATTACTCTTCTTTCTAAGCCTTGAGGGGAAAAAAAATATTTAAAACCTGTGAAACTGCCTCAGATGCGTTTAAAGGATCCCATCAATAAGGTACCTTATACATAACAGATGGGAGTCTTGAGTAATACACAGAATCCCTTTTATAAATGATGTATGTGAACTAAATGCTTTACTACTTTATTTCCATAAAAACAGATTTTTAACTTAAGTTGTCACAACCTGGGACAGTTAGTGGTATGTGCTAAGTTTTCATTGAAAACAAAAGTATGCAACCAAACTTACATTGTTTCTATACTGAATGGTGATAAATTTTATATTTCCAATTATTTGTTGCTTCAGGTAAAAAAAAATCATAATATTTTAGACCAGGGTAATACAATCAGTAATGTATACATAACCTCAGTGCGTTTAGATGCATCCAACCAGCTCATCTCATACGTATTAAGTACCTTCTCTTTGAGAAACTGGGTTTATTTCAGCACTGAAAAACATCAAAAAACTTAAGTGAGAATGAGGTCGGTATGTTTGAAGAACTGGCAGACAGTAAAAGAAAAGAAAGAGGATGAGAAAAGGAATCAGAGAAAAATGTAAGCCACACCAGGTACCATAGAGATAATAAAACAAGGATTCTTCCTACCCATAGTGAAAATCAGAATTCCTTTCAGGTTTCAGCAGGAGAATGATATTATTTCCTCTGTGTTTCTGAAAAATTGAACTCTGTCATTGTCTTGGTCACAGTTACTATTGCTGTGATGAAACATCATGACCAAAACACATTGGGGAGGAAAGGATTTACGTGGCTTTTGCTTCCACATCACTGCACACCATCCAAGGAAGTCAGGACAGGAACTCAGACGGGTCAGGATCCTGGAGGCAGGAGCTGATGGAGAGGCTAAGCTTACTGGCTTCCTCATCAGAGCTTGCTCAAACTGCTTTCCTATAGAACCCGAGACCACAAGGTGGCACCACTACAAGAGGCTCATCCCTTCCCCAATCAATCCCTAATTAAGAAAATGCTCTACATCTGGATCTTATGCAACATTTTCTCAATTGATGTACCCTCCAGAGGACCCTAGCTTGTGTCCAGTGGACATAAAGCTAGCCAGCACAGTCATGAGAATGGAAAGGGAAAGTAGGGATGGATGCAAGCTTAGAAGCAGAAAAATGTGGGGAAGACAGTCAGAAATCATATGACAGAACTCATTCCTGAATGTTAGCAGAGTGACAAGTTGGGGTTCTGCATATGTGTTGAAATCAGCACATTATGAGAGATTTCTGTTGGTGTTGGAGAAGGTGAAAACAAAGGAGGACTCAAATGCATGAGTCCAAAAGTCTGAGCAATGGAGCAGCTAAGGCAGCCATCAGTGAAAATGCTGGTGGCTTTGAGTGACAAGAGGAGCAATGCCAATGACCTGGCCTATCCAGTTTTACCTTCGTCAATCAGATATCAACTAGTTATCCAAGTAGAAATCAGAACAAGTTCACTGTTACTAGAATTTTGAAATAAATCTGGCTTTGAGACACTGAAAATCACCAGCATCTAAGTGGCACTTAAAGCCATGATACAGGATGAGATCCTCAAGGGTCTGAGTGCATAAAGAGACTAAAAGAGGACTAAGGACTGAGTCCCTAACAAGTCAGCATGAAGACACTGATGTTAAGGGGAACCCCCAACAATGGATGGAGAAAGAGCAAGTAGAGCGGTAGCTGGGTTGCTTCCAGAGTGATAGCCAAGTGAAGACACTCAAGTTCAGAACTGCCAGTGTGCCAAGCACAGTGCGTGATGAAGTTGACCATAGGACTCAACAAGGGAGACTCCAGAATTATAGGGAACTTTGGCCTTCATCCCATGTCCTCTGATAGTTTGGGTCTCTGATCATATTACCTAGAAGGCCCACTATGTTGTCAAGATGCCATGAGCCTTTGGGGTTCTTTGTCCTTTAGTACAGTGCAGAGCAGCAGACCCTGTGGTGTTTTCTCAGATCTTATGACATACTTGTTCTAGTTCTGTATACTATGGGGTTTATGTTTAAATGCATACATTTTGAATTACAGTATGCAAAATCCCACTTCATGGTTTATGCTAAAAAAATGGAAATTTAAATTGCCATTAGGTAAACATGCTCCTTGGGAGACCCAGTGCTGGAATTTTGTGTAGGAGGTTGTAATCTATTAATGCTTGGAAAACTGTTTTGTTTATTTAGCTGGAGGACTCAGGCACCTATACATGTGTTGCCAACAATGCTGCTGGTGAAGATACACATACTGTAACGCTGACTGTTCACTCCCTCCCTACCTTTACTGAACTTCCTGGAGACCTGTCATTAAATAAAGGAGAACAGTTACGGTTAAGTTGTAAAGCCACTGGCATCCCATTGCCCAAACTAACATGGACCTTCAACAACAACATTATTCCAGGTTGGTGAATTAATTCTTCATATTTCAATGTGTGCATCGATTCAGCGGTGTGGCCCAGTCTCTGTGTCGTCTTGGAGGTCAATAAGGGATTACAGGTATAGAGTTGACTCTTTTTGTTCTGTAAAATGGCTGGGAGTTGTAGAATACCTGCAATTCCTACACTTGAGAGATGGAGGCAGGGAAATCGGGAGTTCAAGGTCAACTTCAACTACTTGGGGAGCTGGAGGTCAGCCTGTGCTGTAGAAGATCTCATCACTAAATAAAGCAAATAGAGCCAAAAACAAATAGATTCTGTAAAATCGTGTGTTTTTTTCTCAGTACAGACACACTGTTCATTCTGTTGAAAGGATAAGTGGATCTCAAAATGAGCCATTCTATTAAGTACAACTTTGGACAACACAACCCTCTCCCCAAAAGGAGACAGTATTGTACCTTAGGCATCTAACTTACTTCTGATGGACCCCCTGCATTGCTCATCAGTGGGTTAAGGGGCTGCTGCTAGCCACTTGCAAATTCACTTATCTCACAGAACACAGTGCTTCTCACTGGGTGAATAAACCTTTGAAAAGAAGAGGTTAATTTACACAACAAATACCTAGCCTGTGTCTTCTGGGTGTTAAGTTAGTGCCTAACCCCAGAGTACAAATACCTGGAAGACACATTTCTATTTACTTATGTGGGGGTTTTTTGAGATTATAATATAATTACATCATTTCTCACTCCCACCAAACCCTCCCTTATACCTCTTCCTGTTCTCTTTCAAATTTGTGGCTTTCTCTTCACCTTTGTTACATGTGTACACTTGTTTGATTTCATCGTGGAAGATGCTATCAATATTGAGTGCAAGGGTACTACCAGTAATGAGTGGTTGCCTTATCTTCAGAGTTCTGACTTGCATCTACCAAGTTCCTTGCTAGAGAAGCAGAAACAGCTTGAGATTTTTCTGTCATAATGAATTATGAATGGTTGAAATTCATCAACTATATCATCTCAGTAATAACATACCTTAACAGAGAAAGACAATGTCTAAAAATCAGAACTCTTTCTACAGGCAAGTACCAATTCTGGTATTTACCTTTTAAACTAATTTTCCACCTAATACAGTTGAATGAGTTCTTTAAAAATAAGTGAGAGAATGCATACAAAGTAGCCATACATAGTCAGGTGGCAGCTTATTTAGTATGGGTTGTTCTAAGATTAGCATGCTCAAATTAAGTTCCCATTCAAATATTATAGCTGCTTTGTAAATATTTACATCCTCAGCTTTATGATTTACGGGGAAGTTTAAGTTATTTTAGATTTGATCATGATGTTGTTATTACCTACCAGGGATATATTTTCATGATGTCCCTACAACCTGCCAACTCAGTTGAGTTACAACTGAAAAGGTGTGCCCACCATTGATGTAAATTGTTTGGGAAGAAAACTGGTGGTGAGATAGATGGAATGGAAAATGCCATGTTTCTGAAGGAAAGGTTTCTGAAACTCGGAGCCATCTCGAGCACCCCTTAAGCAACAAGCTGAGATGAAAGGACCACTTTAAAATACTTCTGAGAGATGTTTGTTTTCATTCTCTTTTCCTGTTCCATGGGCTGTTTGGGTTCTTCAAATGAGTGACTATAGACATAGTAAATAACTCAAGGGAGACTCTGTGGTAAGGGCTCTCTTGTCCAGTTACGGTTCAATTGCTGACTTGCTCATAAATCTAACCTGAAAAATATTATGCTGCTGTGACATTTTCCTAGGTCACTGAGAGGCATCTGTGTTGTTTCCTAATCTGTTTCCTCAGCCCACTTTGACAGTGTCAATGGACACAGTGAACTTGTTATTGAAAAGGTGTCAACAGAGGACTCGGGCACTTACGTGTGTACAGCAGAGAACAGTGTTGGCTTTGTGAAAGCGATTGGATTTGTTTATGTGAAAGGTAGGCAAAAAGTGTTCCATGTTCCCTTTGTGATTTATTCATAATGAAAGTTTGTTTCCTTATTATGAAGTAATACAACATGACTGCAGTTTACTAGTCCAATGTCACAAACATGTATAGATTCATGAGAAAAGTAAAAATAAAAACTGAGTTTCAACTCAAAGGCAGAAAGGGGCTGGAGAGATGGATACAGGGATAGAGAGTTTGTGCTTCAAGCACAGAGTGTGAGTTCGGATGCCCAGAACCCGTGTAAAACACAAGCAGATGTGTCAGCCACCTACAAGCCCAGCACCCAGGAGACAGACAAGAGATCCAGAGGGAAGCTGGCTAGATAGTCTGTGTAGCTGGGGTTGGTGAGTTCCAGGTTAAGAAAAAGATTCTGCACCAACAAATAAAGTGGTAAGTGAATGAAGAAGACACATGACATCAGGTTTAGGCACACACACACACACACACACACACACACACACACAACCACAAGAGCACTTTTACACATATGTTCACATACACACTCGTGCACAACACACACAACGTAAGAAAAAGGTAAATAAGGAGGTCACTGACATGAAGTGGGGTAATCCCCATATCTGGCAATATTGCTGAAACTGGCAATATTGCCTGGCAGTTAAAAACAGTGATGGTTGGAGAAACACCCATGACGTTTTAAGGTGGCTTTCCCCTCATTGCTAAGCTCTATGTCTACGTGGGTGAAAAGTCACACAGTAACTCAGCACCAGCTTTTCCTTCCCGCCTGACTTATGGTATTTCCCAGAACCTCCGGTCTTCAAAGGTGATTACCCCTCTAACTGGATTGAACCACTTGGCGGCAATGCAATCCTAAACTGCGAGGTGAGAGGAGACCCTGCCCCAACTATCCAATGGAGCCGAAAAGGGGCAGACATAGAAACTAGCCACAGAATCCGACAACTGGGTAATGGTTCCTTGGCCATCTATGGTACTGTGGTAAGTCTCACTGGAGTTGTTCACACTATCTACATTGCTATGCCTTGTTGTCAGTGCCCTTTGTAAATGGCAGAAATTTCTTCTACACTCCTCTGCAAATCGTGAAATCTAAGTTAGTGTATTCCTTCTTTTAATTTGTTTATTAAAATTAAATATTTTAAATGTATATTCTACCTGGCATATATGAGCATAAAATGTACCTATTAACAGTATAGCATGAGGTTTTCAATTTATGTACACTGTGAGGTGTTTTAATCAAATTGAACATTTATCAGATGTTATGATGGAGACCTTCAAAACCCTTTCTTCTAGCTTTTTGTTTTTATCTGCAATTACTGTGCAACTTATCTGTACCTTACTATGCAATAAAACACCAGAATCTTTCATGCTTCCTAACCATAATCAAGTACCCATTCATCATGGTTTTTCCATTACTCCCTCCTCCTCACGCCCCCAGCCAGCGTTATACTCTCAACTTGGCATATACCCTCTGTGAGTATGATCACACAGTATTTGTTTTTCTGTTTCCGATGTGTGTCACTTATCATAATGATCTCCAGCTCCATCTGTCTTGTCACAAATAACAAGATTCTAGCCTTTATTAAGAATGAACAGTGGCCAGGCATTGGTGGTGCACTCCTTTAATCCCAGCACTCTGGAGGCAGAGGCAGGTAGATCTCTGTGAGCTCGAGGCCAGCCTGGTCTCCAGAGCGAGTGCCAGGATAGGCTCCAAAGCTACACAGAGAAACCCTGTGTCTAAAAACCAAAAAAAAAAAAAAAAGAATGAACAGTGTTTCATTGGATGTATAACATTATCCAGCAACTAAATTCTTTTGAAACTATGAAACAATAATAATTGATACTGTTATTCTTTCAAATAAGTAATTATAGGCAATAAGATAATTTTTGTTGCTTTTTCCCTAATCATTAATTTATTATTTAATATTAGGAGATAAACTTTTCAAGTCTATTTTAGAACACGAAGATCAAAAATTTATAAGCATAAGTAAATTATAAGCTAAATTTCATCAGGAAACTAGTAAATATACAAGACTTTGATAGTGCTTTCTTATTCAGGAAAGGAGTATAAAGAGTGATTCATCTAAATATTTCTTAACTAGAATACAAACAATTCATTAACTCACACCTGATGAGCCCTTAAAGATGTTTTAATTCAAATAACAATTAAAATACATCATTACCTAATCCAGTGGGCCTTTCTTGAGCTTTATTTTCCTTATTTTTAAGTGTTAGCTGATGTTGGTTAATACTTCAGTTTTGAGATTTTTTTCCCTCATTTTAATTGATGTAATATTAAGTCTCGGTTTTCTTCATTGGTGCCTTTTCCTTTTACACAACTATTACTATTTCTCAAACTTCCAAGACTATTCAAATACCATTGTTAATGTTACTGCAAAGTCTTTTAATTATACAGCTTCATAGTTCTAAATACGTAGCCTCAGTCCTAAGACTTCCAAGTCCCATTTTCAGCTGCCTGCTGGAAACCTCCATATGTATAATATACTGAAACTTAAAGCTAAGCACATATATGGTATTGTAAATAAGTTAAATCATGTAGTACATGTTTTCTGGGTCATATATGTATAACTTTATGAAAGTCTGTAATTTATTATTACAAGTAAATTCATTTTTCACTTTCCTTAATCTCAAACTCCCCAAGAATCCAGCTTTCAAAAACAACAGAAAGAACTTGATATTGGTTAATTTGTACTGGCTGGCTAAATGGATTTTAAGATGGCCATAATCATAAGATTTACATTTTTCTTTCATAATTTTAAAAAGGTAGTTATAAAATAATGCTATTTTTACTCTGATTTCCTGGGACTCAATGTTATATGAAAATTTTAATTTTGGAATTTCTTTTTTTGTTCCCCATTCCTCCTTTTCCTCTCATTTTTCAACCTATCTATGAGCTTGGACATAGGTGAAATTTTCTATTTCCATTAAAATGCTTTCCTAAGGCTGAAATTCCAAATGAACTATCACACTGAAAAGTGGCAAGCCCTGCAGACCCCTGTTCTTATAACACACTTATTCCCATAGAATGAAGATGCTGGCGACTATACGTGTGTAGCTGCCAACGAGGCCGGGGTGGTGGAGCGCAGCATGAGCCTGACTCTGCAAAGTAAGCTGTTCCGTCCATCTCCAACTAACACAACAGCAGCAATGTTGCCTACTGGGGAAGGACCATTTCCTTTAAGCTTGCAACATGTTCTTGAACAGTAACTTGCACAGTGTGTCTAGTTTCCTTTCCTGATGACAACAGAACAGTGGTCATGAGCCATAACAGCAGTATACTTCTGTAGAATCCTTTCCCGCTCTTATCTGACACCAACAGTTTACAGTCACAGTGCCCTGGTGGCAAAGCCTCTGACAACAGTTCTAGTGGCCAACCCTTTGACAACAGAGAGTGCCCTCTGTGGCTCACCAGACCCTTGTCCCACGCTTACAAAGCGGTCGTTTTATGTGCTTTTAACATATGTACTAAATATATTATTGGAGAAAAGGTCTATTTTCAATAAAAGGAAATATATGTATTGAAAAATAAAGAGTAATTTAAAGGAGCTCAGGAGGGCTTTCCGGTAGATTGGCAGTCTTCTTCCATGAAATAGCTGTGTATTCTAAGTGGGATTCTTTACTCTTCGTGGAGCCCCTCAGTAAATGCCATCAGCAAGCAGAGCTTCCAAAATGAGAGACACCCTGCAGGCTCTGCTGACTCAGGTCAAGAAAAAGCGTCATCAGATCAGCTAACATACAAATCCTGACCGTGGATCCTTTCAACTCCTAACATAAAAAGGCCAAAAATATTATTGACATTAAGATCAAAGCACAGAGCAGTGTTTTAATTCAGACAAAACATTTACATTTGATTGATGATGATGTAAATGTTGTGCTTTATTTGACCATGAAATATGTACACACAGAATTTTATATTTATATTACATTATAGCTTTATAGACATCAAAGATGTCTACAGTATCTGAATTAAGATTCTAAGTTTTCTTGGCCCTGGCATCACGAGCAGACAAGCTTATTTAGTAACTATTGGTAGTTAGTGTAAATGAATTTGCTTTATCAAATGGCATCAGTTTGAAAATGCATAAAGTTATCTGAATGAATATGAGGAAGTAAATAAAAGCAGAGGCCATTTCTGCATGGATGTGAACATTGAAAGGTGAATTTGTGTATGGTTCTACATGGTACATATGGTTCTATGTGGTACATACAGAATAGCAAGTGCCATGGGACAGTTGCTGAGACATCAGAGCTAAGGTGAGGAAGCAGCTTTTCTCAAAGACATGTCAGTAATATGTCATAAAACACTAGCATATAAGTATTACAAGAAAATATGTTTGCTTCCAGATTTGTTTTATACTTAGTAAGGCACACTAAAATAGACCACCATCATGCTGAAGAATCTAACACTCCTTCTCCTGTCACTGGGCACGTCCACCTGCTTCCAGTTCAGCCTCGCCATCACTGTGTGGTCATCCCATGGTGCTCCTTTTCCACAATGTTCTCTGCCCTCCACCCACTTGTTCAACTGCATAGGCAGCTGAGATTTCATGGGGGGAAGGAAAACACAGGTTTTAGCAAGCACTGAAAATTTTGTGAATTACCACCCCATTCCCTGGGTCAAGCGTCCTTCCTAGTCATGAAATGGCCAAGTCTATCTCCATGCTGTTCTCTCATCAAGACATCTCACCACACGAAGGGATCTTCTCCCTGCTGAAATGCTAAAATGATCATCCCCAGTTTTGTAAAAGGCAAAATATTTATACGATCTGAAGAGAAACTAGAGTGTCATCCCCAAATTTGAAAATGTGGTTCAAGAGCTTCCCCAGGAAAACCTCTCCTAAGTTAATTTTATAGGCAAGTAGAATGATACAGAGATAAACATCCCTCTAGCAGCTGCATTCAACTCCTTTTAATCTGATCCTCTCCAGGAACTTCACTTGGGTTTGCTGTTCCTGCCTCTCCCTCCTCCTGAAACTCCTTCCTTTCATTGCTAGGATTCCTGTTTTTTCTCTTGTGATTCCTCAGTGCTCAGTTCTTTGTATCGTTTGTAAACCAGCCTTTTGCCCATCTCTTGGTGCCCTCATATGCTTTCTGTGTCTCATTATCTTTTAACCATGCCACTTTCTCTTTTGAAGCAATCTCATCCAATTAGAAAGACAGATCCACTTTCCTTGCCAACATCTCAATTTTGAGATTTCTGTGTGGATACATCTGAATCTACCTTCCATCTAGGCCTGTTTATGTGAGTGTCTCACAGATACCTTAAGGTCAATGTCCTAAAAATAAAATAGTGGGAGTGATTTCACGCCAACTCCCCACTGCCTCCCATCAGATCTCATCTTCCATTTGTATGTTATTGAATTATCCAAGCACAAACCCTATTGCCCAACTCAAAACCCACATTCATCATTTCTTCTGTTTAGTCCATACTACTCAATATCAAAGTCCTATCATTCTTTTTAAAATAAAGTCACCACATCTTATAAGATAAAATATTAATATATCCCCTTAACAACTAAGAGCCACATTCTACTTTCCTTACAGGTCCTCCCATTATCACCCTTGAGCCAGTGGAAACTGTTGTGGATGCTGGTGGCAGAGTCATATTGGACTGTCAAGCAATGGGTGAACCTCAGCCAATCATCACATGGTCCCGCCAAGGGCATCCCATCCCCTTGGATAACAGACTTACCATGCTATCCAACAGCTCCTTGTACATCACTGCTGCTCGAAAGGAAGATACTTCTGAATATGAATGCGTTGCCCGAAACTTCATGGGCTCTGTCCTTGTCAGAGTGCCCGTCATAGTCCAAGGTAAGTGGGAAGCAGAACACAAGACAGCTCAGATACCTCGTCTCCTTCTAGCTTATCAACTAATGAGTTAAAACAACACAGCTTGGAGTCTTCAAATACCATGCTAATCATTCATAATTCTAAAGTACATTTTCACCCAAAATTAAGCAAAAATTTTCAGAAAGTGATGTATATGATATATATATATATATATATATATATTATATATATATATATATATAAAGGGAAAAAAATATAA